GGTAATATCACACACAGATGAGCAGACAGGGTCCATAACAAAACCCAAGAAGATAAAGTGAAAGAATTCACAGTATTCTAAGACATTCACCACTCACCTACCCAACTCTCTATGCCAGGAACATTGGCAATCAGACCTGGACCATCCTCTGAGCAGGAGACTGAAGGAGTCTTCCTTGGAGAAATTTGACCAACTTAATAGAAAAGACCCAAATATATTGACCTCAATGGTTCTCTAATTTAGAGCATCACACACACTGAGCTTCCAATCAGTTTTGGAGTCTTCCATTATTAAACGTGAATGGAAAAAAATCACTGACTACCAACATCCAAAGAATATCTCTAATATAAAAAATACAGAAAATAACAACAGCACATGAGGGGCGGGAAAGCCACTCAGAGGAAACACACTATGAAGGAAGGAGAAAACTTCAAATTAATATCATTAATATCCTTAGATAAGAAAATATATTATACCCATGAAACATAAATGAGATGCTATTTAAGAAAGAAAACAAACAAAATTAAAAAAGCTTTTGGAAAATAATAACATTAGAGCAGAAATGAAAAACCCAATATAAGAGAAAAAGCAAAATTAAGAAAAACTCTCAGAAAGTGGAACTAAAATACAAAGATAGAAAATAGAAAATAAAATATAATAAAAAGAAAGGATAAGTTACAGACATCCAACAACTAATTAATAGGAGTTGTAGAAAGAGAGAATGTAAGAAATGATGAGAGGAACTTGGCAAAGAAATCATTCCAGAATATATCCCAGAAGTAAAGACCACTAATTTCCCAACTGAGAAATCCCACCAAAAGCCAGGACAATAAATGAAAACAAACTCACGCCAAGACCTATTATTGTGAAATTTCATAATAGTGAGAGCAAACAGAAGATCCCAAAATCTTTCAGAATGTAAAAATAAATAATATGAGTTGGTTTTCAGAATGGCATTGGATTTCCCCAGAATCCTAAAACCTAGAAGATAATGGATCAATGTCTTAAAAATTCTGAAATTTTATTAGTTCCAATCTAGAATTCCGTACTCAAGCAAATTATTAATCAACTATGACGCTGGAATATATACATTTCTGAATATGCAAAGCCCCAAATGATTTTACTCCCATACAACTTTGCTAAGAATGCTACTGGAGGATAGGCTCCATTTCAATGAGAGAGTAAACCAAGAGGAATACACAAGATTCACGAAGCCAGAGATCCAACACAGGAGACAGGTGAAGGTAATCTCTGAGATGATGATGAACGGAGATCCTAGAATACCAGCTCTCTCAATTCTACAGTACAATCAGTTTAGACTGGAGAATATATTAAGAAGGTCACTACTAGCAATCATTCTAAGACAAACAAACAAAAACCCAAAACAGTTGAATTTGACAGATTATCTGATACACTTGAACATGGTCTCAGAAGACGGAAGACAATTTGAAGATAAATTAATATAAAGTACATACAAAATTAAGCAAATAAAAAATGAAATAATTATCAAATCCAAAAAAAGCAAGAGGTTACTCAAGCAAAAAAATCCAATCAGCACACTCCATAGCTCAGCCATGAAAATAATACATGATTTTTTAAAAAAGATTTTATTTATTCATTTGAGAGAGAGAGAGAGCATGAGCCGGGGTGGGGGGGAGAGGGAGAGGGAGAAGCAGACTCCTCGCTGATCAGGGAACCCGACATGGGGCTGTACCCCGGGGTCATGACCTGAGCCGAAGGCAGAAACTTAACAGACTGAGCCACCTAGGCACCCCCAAAATAATACATGATTAACTGAATATTGACATAACCAAAATCTACGCCTTAATTGGGATGTCAGAGAGGAAATATCTGTGTGTAGCAGACACAGACTGCGAGAGTTAACTCCATTATCCTTTACATTAGGAAGTCAACAGATTATCTCTTAAGTGTGTAAAATCAAGAAATAGCAGGGTAAGTTTGTTATCTGGACATACTGGAAAATACCAGAAGGACAGCTGAAAGGGTAAATATGGTTGCTTTTGGGGAGTGGGAATTGGGAAGGCGAAGGCATGAAAGTCAAGGATTGCTATTTTCCATAGTAAGCATATATATATATATACATTGTTTTCAAAGTTAAATGACAACTTTGATAAAAATTAACACTTGTTAAAAAAAAATGATATATTTTTCCTTATTGGCCCAGCAAGCCTGTTGAAACACAAATCAATGAAGCAATTTGAGCAAAGACCTTCCGTGCATGCATGTGTAGTAAATGCATTCGCTTGGCCTAAAGAGAAGTATGAGTTAGGTCAGAATTATGAAAAAAGTTAATGAGACAGCTCCATGAAATGGATCAAGTTCTCACTCTCAGAACTTATCTGGTGTGGTTCTCAACTTTAACTGCATACTAGATTCATTTGGGGAGTTTTAAAAAAACTCTTGATGCCCACAGCATCCTGGACCAATCAAGTCAGGATCTTCTTCAAAGTACCTTCAATGATTCCAATGTGTAGTGAAGGTAGAAAACATGACCCTAAGGCATGAGTTCATGAGACGGGCTATCTACCATTTCCCAAAGCCATTAGAGCCCAGGATAAGGTAGAGAGACACATGCTCAATGGGGAGAGAAGTTGGGTATCCTTCCCTGTACCAGGTCCAACCTGCACTTCTTACCCAATCCCACTCTCAGTTGGCACAGTTATATGACTATGTCTTCCGGGTCATGGTAGGGAATGTACTCTCAACAGGGTGTAATCTGGGGCGCCTGGGTGGCTCAGCGAGTTAAGCATCTGCCTTTGGCTCAGGTCACGATCCCGGGGTCCTGGGATCAAGTCCTGCATTGGGCTCCCTGCCCGTCACTCCCCCTGCTTGTGCTCTAGCACGCTCTCTGGCAAATGAATAAATAAAATCTTTAAAAAAGAATTATTATTTTTTTAAAGATTTTATTTATCTGAGAGAGAGAGCATGAGCAGGGGGGAGAGGGAGAGGGAGAGGAAGACTCCCCGCTGAGCAGGGAGCCTGATGCAGGGCTCAATCCTGGGACCCCGAGATCATGACCTGAGCCGAAGGCAAATGCTTAACCGACTGAGCCACCCAGGCGCCCCCAAAAAAAGAATTATTAAAAAAAAAAAAAAACCAGGGTGTCATCTTCCCCTCCCTCACTCGCCAGAAGAGCTCTGGTTGGTCAAAATCTAAGACACCGATGGGGAGTGGGCCTTGAAGGCAGAGATCAGGCCCTATTCTTTCCCCTTTATCCCTAGTGTCCAGCAAAGTGGACCATTTCTTTTCTGTTTCTAGGCCCACTGGCCCTTACAGGGTGGGCTCAGGCACACTGGCCTCCTTTGTTTCCCGAGAATCCAGTGACTGGGGAACAGGACACTGACTCGGGCTACTCGGGATGCCACAAGAATACCATAGATTGGTGGCTGAAAACAACAGGCACCTACCTCCAGCATGACCTCCACGTCTGCAGGCTGGAAGTCTGAGCTCAGGGTGTCAGCAGGGGTGGGTTCTGCTGACAACTCTCTTCTGACGGAATGCTACCTCCTTGTGTCCTCACATGATCTCTTCTTTGTGCACAAATAAGAGGGAGGATGGGGGGGGCAGAGAGTCAGCCACAGACAGAGACAGACTGAGAGGGAGGGCTCTCTAATCCCATCAGAAGGGCCCCACCCTTATGACCTCACCTAAATCTAATTACCTCCCAACGGCCTCATCTCCAAATACCATCGAATTGGGAGTTAGGGCTTTAACATTTGAATGGGGGGAGGGAGGCACAAATATTTAGTTCTTAACAGATGTGTTGGGCCTCTGGCCTGTCCCTTGCCTCCAGCACAGTCTTCCAGGGGTTACCAAGCTTTTGCCTCCGTCTCAGCACCTGGAAGGGTATTTTTTTAAAACCCACCCAGCCATCGATCTTTGCGTGTGCTCTTCCTCAGTTCAAACACCTCAGAGAGTGAATGGGAAAATTTAACTTCTGAATACTTTACTAGAAGCACTCATTATAGATTTTATAGGGAAATGCTGAGCTGGTCCTCCACTACCCTGATGGCCTAAAGAAGCAGATGATGTTTTCCATTCTTCTCCCCAATCAAGTAGTATAAGCGTTTCAAATACAGAGCGGGGAATTACGCTGAGCACTGTAGGAAACCAAGAAGAAAGACTCTTAGCTCGCGAAGCAGGGGTGAAACTCAAAATATTTCACATTGGCAGAGGTTTAGGCAATGATTATTTACAAGTCAATATAAGAGGATTTCAATATATTAGCAGTATGCACGGTAACCCCAGTGTGGTCCAACTAAATATTAGCCTTGCCCCAAAGCGCTTATGCGTGCAATGCAGCGTGTGCATTAATGAATTCAGGAATGCACTGAGGAATGCTAAAGGTATGGAAGCAAAGCCAAGCTGGAGCCTCCGGCCCCACACCCCTCACTTTCTTTTTTCTGTTGTGAACCTTGGAGTCCTCCACCTGGGGCGATCCAGCCACCAAGGGGTGCCGTGCCTAGAGACAGGGCCCGGCATTAGTTATAAACCTGAATCAGTCTTCCCACCAGACAGGCCCTGGCTTGGGATAATAGAGAAGGGAAAAGAAAAAAAAGAGGTCCTTCGATTGGTCTGGAGACAGGGAGGGAGGGTCACCAGCAGAGTGAAGAGGAGGCTCCATTTGAGTTGCCTCAAATTACATCTGTCCACACACGCATGTGAAATGTTGCTTAAAAAATAAATGAGGTTAATTTCTCTTTACGGGTTCCCTTTCATCTCAGGGTTTCAAAGCACTTTGCCACAAAAGATCTCCATCTTCACTCCTTTTTTAATCTAAATATAAACGGAGGGCCCTAAGGGTTAAAGTTCGGTAAAGCCCTTTGAACTGTGCAAAGGAAAAGCATTAAAGAAAAAGAATTATTTTTTATCATTAGGAAGATCCGAGCAGCCAACCGGGGACCACACAGCCAGAAACCTCCCGTTCTGAAGAAAGGCCACGCCTCCGCTCGGATGACACGCTTGCTAATTAAAATCACAATTAAAACCAGCAGGGAAGATGGAGGGCCGGGACTACAACGCCCTTCCCCAGAAGCAGAAACACTCAGCCTGACTCACACACGATACATCAGATTTTCTCCAGCAGGCATTTGGAGGGAAGAAGAGAAATTCGAGTCCAGGCCACCCTCCATCTCCTAACCCAGTAAACTCCGTGTCTGGGTGGGTGACACATCCCTGACTCGCTGCCACCTCAGCGGAGTCCCAGTGCGGGACGAACCAGCTTGGCTTCCCGTGCGTGGAAATGTTTGCATCTGCATTTTTCAGCAAAGGAAAGTCTCCGAATCTCCCCAGTTCCAGCATGTGAGTCATTAGTGGGTGTTTGTGTTTGGGGTTCTGGGTTTGAGTCACCATCCTTCCTGCTGTCGGGCTCCTCCATCCAGGGGGAGCGTTGGAAAAGAGAGAAGCAGAAATGTGTGTGATGGCAAAAGCGGGCACCCGAAAGTGGGTCGGCTGGGCCGTTTTATCAGCAGCTCCTTGTAAAGATCATTCTTCTCTCCGTAAACAAGTATCTAACATTTATAAATAACAGTGGGAAAGAGGAAGGGGGAGGAAGGAAGAGAAATAAGTCTATAAAGGATGTGATTGAGCTAAGCGGAAGTAGAGTCTAGTCAAAGTAAAAATAGGCAACTGCCTGTTTGTCAGCTAATGGAGGGATGGGGCTGCTGGTGTTGATCAAACTAGGGGTGTAGCTCTCTGGCACCAATCCTCATGGGCCTGGCGGTGCGGCCGAGGAGGGGGTGGCGTGTGTAGGTGGGGCTGCCAATATCCCCGGCCAATTCTGGAATCTGAAAGACCACCCTGACTTTGAAATTTCAGGCTATCTTCCTGATATTCCCTCCCTTCAGTGCAATGCCTGGCACCATTTATTCCTGGGAAGGACCTCAAGACCACCCAGAATTCTACAATGGGAGGGTTCTACAAGGTCCCAGTGCCGTGCTGGGACCAGGTGCCAAAAACCACCAGCTTGAAAACAAGTGAGCTGACCGCCTGGGCTGCCCTAACAGCTGGTTTTTACTTCACTGACACTGACCATGGAAGATGGTTGGAAAAAATAAAGGTGATCATAGGAATATAAACACAAAACAAAGCAAAAAAAAAAAAAAGAATCAGGTTTTGAGCTCCTGAACAGCTCAACCAGATCTGACCCAGGGAAGGCATCTGACCACAGGCCTTCCAGTTTCCCTTTCAGAAAGCAGAGAGACTGGGCGCCTGGGTGGCTCAGTTGGTTAAGCGACTGCCTTTGCCTCAGGTCATGATCCTGGAGTCCCGGGATTGAGTCCCACATCGGGCTTCCTGCTCAGCAGGGAGTCTGCTTCTCCCTCTGACCCTCTTCCCTCTCGTGCTCTCTATCTCTCATTCTCTCTCTCTCTCAAATAAATAAATAAAATCTTAAAAAAAAAAAGAATGAGGTTCAACTTTTCAACTGGTGTGAGTGTGGAAGTCATAACAGGACCTGTTGTATGCAGTTGGAGGCTGGATACTATGTTTTATCTCAAGTATATATAATTAAAAGATATCTGGAGACTCACACTCTTGCTACATTAGGGACTTGAAGCTCAGAAAAACAGAGCTCCTGCCCTACCAGCCTTCCAAATGTTAGTCAACCTACATAAACCCTTGGCAGAAAAGTTGACACAATGAAAATGAACACTGCTCTCATTCTAGACTGAGTCACAAAGGAAGGAAGAAGTACTATTTGATTCAAAACATTCTTATTTGGGGGAGATCTATTATAATGCACATCACCACCAACTGGAAAACAAAGGTTGTAAACTCAGGCGCTATTTTCCTGGGACCTTGACATTTTAAAATAAAAGCCTTCATTGTTTACAGAATACTTTTCACATTAATGTCTCAGTTTCTTGTTCTTCAAGATAGTTATCTATGGATATTACAGAACTTCCTGAACTACCCATTTTCTGTGGGCACATAACATTTGAAAGATCCCTGAGGCCTGTTCCAAAACAAAGCACAGCAAAACAAATTAAAACACTCTTGATTGTGACATTCTGTTTAAGTCATTATTCATGACACAGCTTTAAAAATTATCGCAAAAAAGTGGAGACCTGGGATTTGACTCCGGAGTTACTTACTTTTCTCAAATAATTCTCCTAACCTGCTCAGTCTTGGGTACCACTTCTTGGAAAAGTGACTTTGACGTTCTTCAATCTTATGACAACCCATCATATAGCTTCCATATCCAAACTGAGCTTGCTGCCCAGCTGAGAATATCTTAAGTAGGCCCATAGGGATCATGTCTTTTCTGTTACCCTGATTCTTTAGCTGTAGATTATCAATGTAAGTTCCATACCTAACCCAACTCAGGCCAATTAGAGTGCTGCCTTGGAATTTTGTCAAACTGCAACGTGGCAGGGGCGCACCTGGGTGGCTCAGTCATTAAGCATCTGCCTTCGGCTCGGGTCATGATCCCAGGGTCCTGGGATCAAGGCCCCCATCGGGCTCCCGGCTCCTCAGGAAGCTGCTTCTCCCTCTCCCACTCCCCCTGCTGTGTTCCTTCTCTTGCTGTGTCTCTCTCTGTCAATGAAAATCTTAAAAAAAAAAAAAAAAACTGCAACGTGGCAAAGAAGCCTATACTCCTGATGAGAGCATGAGATGTGCAATTTTTTTCAGAGGAAAAAAAAATGAGCTCACACCTAGAGAGGTGAGACAAAAAGCGCTGGCTACATTTGAGCTTTTGGTTCCATTTGTCCCTAAGATCATTCAGCTTGTCTTCAAGCATATGATATCCCAGAATCCTTAAAAAAAATCTCTGCTACCCTTCCCACCCCCACCCCAAGCTACTTAGGTTTCTAAGCCACCAAAAAAAGAGTCCTATTAAATATAGTAATCCATTTGATTGTGAAAAATAAATAAATCTTTAACTAAAGATCCAAGGAACTCCACAGAGATATTTATGTTAATCTTTCGAGTGTCTGGACAGCACACATTGTAGGATGTGCCACCCTTACAAGCTGTGAGACCAGGGGATAGCATCTCCACCCTTCTAGGAGGTAAAAGACTTGTCTGACATATAATTAGCTTTGTTTCCATGGGAATTACTGTTTCTTGCTTACTGTATATTCCTGCCCACCCCAAACCCCCCAACAGGAGCTATACAAGGCAGGCATATTGGTTTTGTTCACTGACGTATCCAGCACCCAGAACAGGACTTTGTATACAGTAGGCTCTCAAGAAAGGTTTATTAAGTGAATGAGCTAACCTTTGTCTATGTCCAGACCCTGTTAGGTAGGTTAGGTCTTCAAGGATGCTAGGCTTAAAGACAGAAGGAATAATGAAATTGAAAAGAGGGAAGAGAGAGTCTAAGATACTTGGAACAAAAAGCAACTTTAAAGGTCAAAAGAGAATTATTTTTAAATTTAACAATTTGGAGGGGAGCCTGGGGGGTGGCTCAGACGGTTGAGCATTGGACTCTTGGTTTCTGCTCAGGTCATGATCTCAGGGTCATGAGATTGAGACCCGCATGGGACTCTGAGCACAAAGGGGTCTGCTTGAAATTCCCTCTCCCTCTGCTCCTCCCCCACCCCCACTGCTCACGCTTGTACTCTCTCTCAAATAAATAAATAAATAAAATCTTAAAAAAAAAAATGTAACCATTTGGAAACCTTTTGCTAACCGATCAATAGATGAAGCAAATGTATCTCTCTCCATCCCAACTTTATTTCCTATTTTACTTACTGCTGGTTATACCATTATATATTCTTTCCTTCCTTTAGTAATAGGACCCCTTCAGTTTTAGTTAAGCAAATGGCAGCCCCACCAAGAACCAGCAGCTAGATAAGGTCATGTGACTAAGCTTTGACCAATGGGATGCTAGCAGAAGTGAATGGGTTTTTTTTTTCTGAATTATGCCTTTATTTTTTTTAAGATTATTTATTTGAGGGGTGGGGGAGGGGCCGAGGGAGAGGAAGAGAGAAACTCAAACAGCCTCCGTGCTGAGCACAGAGCCGGGGCTCCATCTCACAACCCTGAGATCTTGACCTGAGCTGAAACCAAGAGTTGGGCACTTACACCGACTGCACCACCCAGGCACCTCTGAGTTATGCCTTTAAAAGGCATGAGTATGCTCACTCCTCAGACCTTTTTTTCTTCTCATTGACTATGATACAAGTATAATGGCAGAATATTGGGGAAGGTCAGTAAAAAGACATGATTGCTGGCTGATCCATGAGCTGGACCCAGGCACTTAGAGGCTCAGCCCCTCCCCTGTTCTTAGAATGTGGGTTCCATTTGTCTTTCCCACTCCCAGAGGCTGCTCCAAGGACACAGCCTTGAGATAGTGATATGATGAGAACACCTGCGCAGTACATGGCTGAACCCAGTTAAGGTCTCTTGATGAACTTTTTAAGATATGGTGGGAAGGTGAGGGCATCCATTCTTCTTGCTGCTGCCCACTACAAGCCTCATATATAAGTTCACTTTACTCATTAAACCTGCCACCCACCACCTTGGAGTGGCCGGCCTCCTTCGATCTCTCGCTGCCCTGCACATATGGGGGGCGGTTTCAGATCATAGCCAGAAAGCTCCTGAGAGGGTTGCAAACTGGCACAGAACCCAGACTAGCCATCTTAGACTGCCAAAGGGAAGCTTTATGCCAAGGATGGCAGCATAAAAATAAAGAAGTTAAGGCTTATGACAGCATGGATGTGCCATATTAACCCCTCACATTTGAATAGTTAACATGAAGGAAAAGTAACTGTCTATTTTATTTAAGACACTTCTATGTTTGTGTCTTTGTTATAATTAATCTGAGCTGGAACTTTTCCTATCTTCAATTGGCTCACACCACATTTATGTTTTTTAAGTTTTGGGTTTTTTATTTATTTATTTTTTAAAGATTTTATTTATCTTTTTAAGATTTTATTTATTTATTTGATACAGAGAGAGTGAGCACATGAGCAGGGGGAGGGGCGGAGAGAGAAGACCCCTCTGAGCAGAGAGCGCACCCCTGAACAGACTGAGCCACCCAGGTGCCCCAAAGATTTTATTTTTAAGTAACCTTTACACCCGATATGGAGCTTGACTTTACAACCCTGAGATCAAGAGTTTCACCGTCTTCTGACTGAGCCAGCCAGGCACCCTGATACAGGTTTTTAGAAGAGGGAACTTAATCCAGTCCCTGAATTATGGGCAAACATTAGGAAGTAGGGACTATACAGCAGTTTGAAGGTGGGGAGGGAGGACAGGCAGAATGAACAGTAGCCTAGAGTCAGGGAAATGCATGCCTTGTTCAGTCACAGTTGATTGTTCACGTAGGAAGTGTAATGGACATATTTTTGTTTTTGTTTGTTTGACTTCCTTTGCTTTCAGGAATTGCTCCTCCATTACTTGTGATTCTGATTTTTTTTTTTTTTTTTTTGGCAATCACATGGCCCCGCCTTCTACCTGATGGGAATGGATTTGGGACTCTGTCTGTCCAATCAGGGCACTGTATGCCCCTGTCCTAGAACCCGGAACAGCACGTGACCTAAGCAGAGCCAGAGTCCGTTGGGGAGATTAATAAGGGCACAAGAGGAGAAGGGATTATTTCTCTTCTCTGTGATTGCTAGCTAGAAGACAGCTTTGCCATGGGCATAACTGCTGTTACGGAGAATAAGGCTGCCTAAGATAAGTCAGCTTGGGAGGATAAAGAGCCTTGAGGAGAAGAAAGGCAGTCCTGAGGGCCGCTTGAATCCTTGGAGGCAACTGTGCCTGAAGCAAAACTCTCCTCCCACCTTGGACTTTCCAGTTACAGGAGCCAATCAATTCCTCGTGTGTTTCTGCTCTGTTGTAGTCTTGTCACCTGCAACTGAAAGAAACCTGACTAGTTCAGGACTAACCAAAGATAAGATTAGAAAGTAGACACCATTGTCTTAATTAACAGTGGCGGCCCTACGTGCTCGACAAAAAAAATTTGGACTCGCATTTGAAGACGACAAGATGAGCCGTTTAAATTAGGAGGCTGTTCAGGTGGTATACTGGGGTCCTTCAGTGGAAAGAGCATACCAGGTGATAAGTCTAGCCTTATCACTTCCTGGCAGTGTTTTCTCATCTGCAGAATGGGGGTCATTTCAAGGGCTTCGCTGGGTGGCTGAGAGAAATACAT